TACCTCCAATTCCAGTATAACATCGCAGGGTTTATTCTTTCCTCTTTTTCCATATTTTTAGCCTTCCCTCTCTGACAGCTCTCCCTGGGAGTGCTTCTGTGAAGGGGAACAGAGAGTGAGTGGTAGCTGGCGTGGAACGTAGTGGCAGGAAGGTTGACTTTTTAAGAGGTGGGACTGGAAGTGTGGGAAAACTTTCTAGGCCTATTCTAACCGTAAACAATGATTGAATTTGTCTCTGATTATAGTTGTAAAAGATGACTAAGATATTTGAGTTGGAAAATCTCTTCAGTTGTCACATACCAGAACTAGAGAACAATCTCAATACCTTTCCCATGCAATATTTGATTTTGAACAATCTAGTTTTCCTAATAAATTTGGGTAAAATTAGGATAAAATTCCTAATAAACTTGCAAAAAGATGCCATGAAGGTACAAAGGAGCTTTAAAGGTATTAGTCATATTGTTGTTTTTTTTTTTTAAACTGGGTATTGAGTATGTGGCTATTTAATGCGTTCTTTATATCTTATACATGTAAGTATTATTTGTATATATTAAATATTTAAGGGAGCAGGGGTGGGTGAGATTCCTTGTTCTCATTGAAATAAAAAGCAGTCATATCAAAAAAGATTTAATTAAGAAATACGCCTTGAAATAACCTAAGGCCATCAGGTAACCTGAAGTAATAACATGCCATTTGGTACAAAGTAGATAAATTTGGGAGCTGATTTCTAGGCTGCTTTAGAATAGTGGGTATTCTGTGTAGCTGTGTGACTTGGGGCTGTCATTTCTGTAAGGCACTGTGTCACTGAATCATTAGTCGTGAAGATTATTCTTCATTCCTGATAGTTTAACATTGGTATCAGCATTTGGGAGTATACCCGTCCTCTTACTTATATTTAGAGATGGTAGTCTGGAGACTCTGTGCTTTTGGGTCGATGAAGTTATTATTGAAAAAATAAGTGAGGTTAAATTATTCTATGTACTAATTCACATTCTTAACCTGAGTTCTCAGTATACTGTAGCTTAGTGCTTAAGACTGCCCTCATTTGAATCTTGGCTTCATCACTCTATGATATTGGACAAGTAATGTCACCGCTCAGAGTTCCAATTTTGACCTTAAACTACTTGGTAGGGTGATAGTGAGCGCTAACTAGTGTTTCATTGCTCTTACTTTTCGATGTTCTGAGCAATTCTTCTCAAATCCATATCTGTAAATTTATATTGAGTATTTAACAGGAGTCCTAAAAAATATTGGTTTTTAAAAGTTGGTACTTATTTGTGTCTAGGTTAATCCTCGAGCACTGTTATTTGGTCATACAGCTTCAATCACCTGTTTATCTAAAGCTTGTGCTTCTAGTGACAAACAATATATAGTGAGTGCATCTGAAAGTGGGTAAGTATTTTCTTTTTCACTTTTTTGCATTTATTGCAAATAGTACCAGTATATTAATAAGTAGAGATTTCTTTCTTTTGGAATATCTCTTCATTAAATGCTTCAATTGTCTAAGCTTAAAGATATTTGAGATATGGTTTTAAAAATGTGAATTTTATCTTTAGTAATGATTTTTATAATACTTTACTTTGATTGTAATTTATGACTATATCTTTGCCTTGCTTTTGAGAAACTCAGAATACCATAAAAGTTAAAGCTTAATTAATCCCCATGGCATTGTTGAGTTGGCAGACAATTTTGAGAGTTTTAAAAAACCTGTTGATGCTAGGCTAGCATAAATTTGGAAGATAAAGCCATGTAAAAGTTTGTACAGTTATATTGATGGATGTTAATACACTAGTGTAACTACATATATTCCCGAGCCTCAGAATACAGCTTGATTTTGGAGAGATAGGTCATTGGACAGTAGTTGTAGGATCTAGAGTGTGAGAAAGTTTTAAAACTTTTTTGGTGCTTAGAAAATTGTCTGTTCGCGTGATAAGAGAGTTGGGAAAATGGAAGAGAATTATTTAAGAGGTTGTCCCCTCCACCCTCCTTTTATTTTTTGAATTAGAAAAGAACTTTATATAACTGGAACAAGAAGAGGCAGTGTCAGGAAAAAATATAGTACCCTTTCGTCAATTAAAGGATAAGTCACATTAGAATACAGAATCTAAATAGATTGAGCATTTTTTGAAAAGTTGTTTCATAGCATGTGAGATACAGGAAAAGGCATTTCAAAGAAAACCCTAATATCAGGGTCACTGCATTTTGCTAATGTTGTTTTCTGTTAAATAAATCTTAAGTTTTTTTCTTTAAAAGACAGGGCATATTGACCTTTCTGATTTTGAATATTGCATCTTAGTTTGGAGTAAAAGCTTTTTTGTTTGTATGTGCTCAGTACAATTTCTGCAATAAATACAGAATCAAAAACTAGAACATTATATTTAATTTGAAAAAGTTTAGAATTCAGTTAACTTTAACTTTATTTATTTATTTTTGCAGTGCTAAATTTTCTAGTTATGTTCATAACCAGTGGAAAAATCTCAGTGATTTAAATTAAAAGTTTATTTCTTGTCTTTGTCACTCATCCCTCATATATCTATCACTTGGGGCTCTGTTCTGCTTTGTTATTCTCCTAACTCTGAGGTTAAAGGTAAGAGAGCAGCCACTGTCTGAAGTAGCCAGTATCTGGCACAGAGGCAGAGGAGGAAGACAGTTCTGGAGGGCCTCGCATCAGTGCTGGTCAGAACTGCTCACAAGACTGCACCAGCCAAAGGGGAGCCAGGAGATGCTCAGAAGGAACTGATCTAGGTGGGGGTGGGCAGGTCACAGAGGACGTTGGGATAGTGAGTGGGGAGGACCAGAATTTTTGATGAACAGCAAAAATGACTATATACTACTTAAAAAAAAAAAAACACAGTTTTAATGGAATATTACTTTTAAACCGCTGTGACAGAGTTGAACAGTGCTTTAAGAAATCTGATTTAAAGTTAGCTGTTATTTTGTTTTATAGAGAAATGTGCCTCTGGGATGTGAGTGATGGCAGATGTATTGAATTTACAAAATTAGCCTGCACACATACTGGCATACAGGTGAGTATTTCTATAACTGTCCAAGCCAGCACAATTTTTATAGATATACAATTTTAAAATGTTTTTTAAACATTGAGCTATATTTTTATGTGAAAAAAATGGGTGGAGATGACAAGACTGGAATTAGAGTGGTAAAAGTCTTCCTCAAAGATGATATGGTGGAGGAGTGTAATAAAGTAGAGAAGAAAGACTTAAGGGAAGCCGATTGCTACTGCTATTTCTGCTCTTTCTGGCTGTCCTGGTCACCCAGGGGAGAGCCTCTTTACTGGCTGGGTTAGGTAAGTCCTCTACCTCCAAAATAATGGAATTCTCTCTTTCTCAAGCCTTTATGGTTCCACTCATGACTGACACCAATCGACCCACTCTACAGATCATATCCTTTTTATTGCTTGTGTAGTTGGTCCTTGGGTACATCCATCTGACTTTCCAACTCTGTAGAAGAAATAATTGTTTTGTATGCCTGGCTTACACAGGGATTTACATGGGAATTTATAGTTCCTGACTTGCGTTCCTAGTATTCCATTTTATACTTTCACACTTGTCAGGTTCTTTGTGCTTCAATTTACTAATCATTTACTGTGTTGAGTGTTGGGAATATTACAAGCGTATAGAAAACATGATTTTTGTTCTCAATGGGGAAAGAGGGAGAAGAGAAGAGAACTCACATTTATTGAGTAAGTATTGTATAGGCATTTCTTGTATGTTGGTTCATTTAGTCCTTCCCACAGCTCTAAGAATTAAATAGGAGTATAGCATTTTACATACAAGGAAGCTGAGACCTGGAATGATTAAATGACTTTGCCTCAATCTCGCAGTGAGTCATTCCTGGTGCCAGGATCTCAAATCAGGTTTAACTGACTCTAGGGACTGTGCTCTTTCTATTATGTCATTCTACCTTCCTTTAAAACAAACAAATGCAATCCTTTGATACAGGGGAAAAAACCTCTGCCAACACAAATTAGCAAAGCAGTGGAAAAATGTTTTGGGGGAGGTGGTGAATAGCATGATAAAGGTCTTTGTGATGATTCCTTGCCCTGGCAAAGGCTTTTGAAAAATTGCTTTTTAATGCTATTAGGGTGTATGCTTTATGCGTGTGTGTGTTTTATTTTATTTTTATGTTTAAAAACGTTTTTATTTTTCAGTTAGAGTTGACGTTCAGTATTTTAGAATGTATGCTTTTTATTTAAAGGGCATATATTTTTTTCATCATATGAAGAATTATCAAGGTTTATGGAGAGAGTAAAAAAATGATGTACAGTTATTGACTTTGTGGATAATTTAATTGAAAAATTATATATAAATGTCTTGAACTCATTGGATATTTTGACTGTTGCATAATTTTATGATTTAAAATCTTTTGGTTTACATTTTAGGAAAAAATATTCAGCATATTTCCAATGTCTGCTGTTTATCAGATCCTTCTGGGTTTAAATTGGCAGCCATCTCTAAGCAGAAGATGCCTTTTGGCAGATTTATTAGTGTGTGACAATTGTTTCCTGTGTGATCCTCACCCTCTCAGGTCCAGAAGCAAGTTGTTTTTTTATACTAAGAAATGATAAACCTTGGTGACACTGGTACTTACTGAAATCACAAGGAAATGCCACCGTATTAAATTGTCCTGTGGGGGCATCTCTTTTTAATATTTGGAAAACTTGTTTCTCCATTTCAGATACTTTTCTTTGCCAGTATTAGTGTCTAGGAAGCCAAATGTTAGTGTTCAAAGCATTGTTTGGGAGTGTAACCGGAAAGCAAAGGGTGGGGGGCTTTTGGTCAGGTAGGCTGCTAGAATACCCTGCCCTCAGGAGGCAGCTCTCCTCTGGTGGCTGCAGTGCCCCTGCCTCTCCTGGCTGGTGTTGGATGAACACGGGCAAAGTTTGCTTCTCTACCCATGCTTTCCTCCCTGACACATCCTCCCCTTATATGGGTCATGGTTACCAGTGGTCACAGTGAGTGCCTGGTGGGCCCTGGGACGTCTAGGTTGTGTGTCATGTTTTTTTAAATCAAACTTCAGAGGTCTAGAGCGCCCCCTGTGGTAGTCTGCATTTTATTAGACCCTCTCTTCCAGTTTTAGTAATGCTGCCTTGCACTTAATATGCTCCTTGATCAATGTTTATGTTATAATCCTTCTTATACAAGGTACTCTGAAGTTGAGAGAAATTGTATTCCTTCACATACAACGTTGAGCTCTGAGTACAGGGCTAATGAGTGTGGGAGCAGATTGGACTTGGGTTTCTTAGTTATTTCCCCAGTTGTGGAGTGGTTACATGCTATATCTAGCTGGCCCTCATGTGATTCATATAAGGTCCAATCTTTGGGAAGTAGTAGTCTGGGTTTTAGATGTCTTCACCTTTTAGAAATCCTCTAGGAGAATCATTCTACTAAGAGAGTCACTATTTTTGAGGCTAAGGGAAGACAGGTCCTTTGATGAGTTTTTGGTCTTGTTTTGATAGCTACTCTTCCTCTGCTCTTTGATTGATGGAAACCCGTCTTATTCTTTTGAATTATTCTTGGCATGAGTAACCTGTAGATTGTGATTGTATTGGTTCTTCCCTTATTTTTCTTATACAATGTATAAATGTGACTGTGGGAGTGGTTAATACAATTGTCTCATACTATGGTCTGAAATAATGCACTTAATCAAAATTTACTTCTGATTATAATATGTTTGAACAGCAATTGTTCTAAATTTTACTTGATTATAACTAGTAATTATAATCCTATACCCACCTGGTCTCATCATCTAAAATTCATATTATTTTTGTGACCCACCCGAGCTTCCCTTTTACTTTGATTTGTGAAGCTGATTTTATTCAAGTGTTTCATTAAATCATTCAACAGTTCTGTGTTTGATGCTGCAGGATGAAAAAAAATTATCATGAATTCTCCAAAGTAGTTCAAAGGGGGAGAAGGATAAGATGTTAGAGAAAGAATAATTTTTGTTAGATATTTTAAAATATTAATGTAACCTGATGTGTGTGTATGCGTATACAGAGACATATAATATGTATCATCTAGTATATATCTGGAAATATTACTGAAGAAATTGAGCATTATAAGAATCTTGGTGAATGCATGTGAATCAGTATCTAAAGTAAAGAAGCACATTAAAATCTTTTTCCTTTTAGTTCTACCAGTTCTCTGTTGGAAATCAGAGAGAAGGAAGGCTTTTATGCCATGGTCATTATCCAGAAATCCTTGTTGTGGATGCCACCAGCCTTGAAGTGTTATACTCCTTAGTATCAAAGATATCTCCAGACTGGATTAGCTCCATGAGTATTATTCGGTCCCACCGGACACAAGGTCAGTGTGTGGTGCCCTTTAGGCATTCAGCACCATGACTTAATAGTTAGTTTACTGTAGAGTTCCATAATGCATTATGTATTAATATATTTGGTTACTTTTTTTTTTTAATTTAAGAAGGAACTAATAATTTATGGCCCGTCTCTACCTTCATAAAGGAACCTTTGATTGAATTAAGATTTGCAGTGATAATTATCTCCATTCCAGATCACTAGCTTTTGCAGTCTTAGAGTGCGGGGTGATTTTCTGAAGTGGGGAAGAATATCTTAGCCCCGTGAAGGTATGGTGGGAGGAACCGTAGTTTCACCTGTGTATTTCGTGGGCCTGGTTTGTCACTTGTTGAGGCATAGGAAGCATTGCCATTTTATATGGAGATAAGAAAAGGAAGGGGATTATACATAGTTAAGTTTAATGAAAGTTCCTGGTAAGTTTGACTGCTCCCTTACCTAAAGCTTATGAATTTAGGTTTTATATTATGTTTTGTTCACTTGATCACAATCTATGGAGGGTGTAATGTACAATAAAATGTCTAGAAGGCAGGCAAGGTAGGTAAAAAAAAAGTGCTTTGAAGAAGTAAAGTGAATGTGCTTATTCATGATAAATAATTAAAAGTTATAAATTTTGAAGAATAAAAGTTCTTTAATATAGTGATCAAGAACATTTGAAATTATTAAAAATTTATGGATTAGAAATAAAAAAAATAATTCAAGAAGTTAGAAACAAATTTTTGCCTTGTTGGAAAAGTTTTTTGTTCAAATTTTTCGTTATCTATTATGTTTTAAAATATGGTTTCTGTTATTTCATGAAATTCAGAATTATGTTTTATGACGATTGTAAAACATGCTATTATTTAATTTCATTACAGTAAGTCATGTCCCGTGTTACTATTATAACCATGTTACTGCTTAGAAATAAAGTGTATTCTATTTGTAACCTTGGCTTCTTGTTCCTTCTTGGCTCAGAGGACACGGTGGTAGCACTCTCTGTGACAGGCATCTTGAAGGTGTGGATTGTCACCTCTGAAATAAGTGGCATGCAGGTGAGACAAAGGAGACTGGAAATGATCGCTTTGTTTTTCTTCTTATGGAGTCCTAAATTTTAGCAACAATATGCACCTTCTCTTTTTTTTAAAGGGGAAGGAAAAAGCTATTCTTTTTTGATAGTCTTATTGATGTAGTACAGATCTTCTAGAATGCTGTCTCAGTAAGTGAGTTAATTTTTTCACTTGATAGGAGACATCTGCTTTATCAAGGACAGAAACAGGGAAACATATTGCACAGGATAAGAAATAGAGGAACATATAGAAGAGGTGGGATTTTCCTCAACTGCTTCTAAGTTAAAAGTTAGGAGGTAGTTTTCTTGAGGGAAAAAAATAAACCATCACAAAAAGTATATAAAGCCAATTTAGGCCTCTCTCACTGTTCTTTGGACTTGAATTCCTTGTTATTTTTTAATGATAAAGGCAGATCGATTTTCCGACAATATTGATGCTAGTCTCTTCAGCTAGGGAATTTTTAAACACTGAATTGGAGAAACTAGAGGAATTGATTAGCTTTTTTTTTTTAAACTTTAAAAGCATATATATATAGCTACAAAAATTAGGATCGACTCAAACTTTTATCATTGGTTATTGTCGGAATGATGATATTGATTCCTGTTAGTATTTTAATCTTGAGTAGCTTTGAAGCAAATATGTCTTGCCCAGATGTTTTTATAGTATATATTTGCTGTTTTTTCCTGCCTTGGTTCTCACATGAGGGGCTAAAATGATGAACATATCATAACATGCCTTTATTTTATTTTGTTTTCTTTATCATCATCTGATAATTTTAATTGACAACGAAACCATTCCTAATTTTACAAATTTTTCTCTTTTCAGGATACTGAGCCAATATTTGAGGAGGAATCCAAACCAATTTATTGTCAGAATTGCCAAAGCATCTCTTTTTGTGCATTCACACAGAGGTCGCTTTTGGTTGTGTGCTCTAAATATTGGAGGGTAAGATAATTTACATAAGTAAGAAATTGTATTTTTACCCTTTGAGATGTTGGTGCAAGAATATTTTAACCATTTCGAATTCCTATGTGATTTTGATATCATATTTTGAGGTGTTGTGATTTGGCCATATATATTTGTCTGTTTTGTTTGTTTGTTTACAGAATGATTTAGGTAATGATTACTTTGTTGATCTTAATTCCCGCCATTTGCTACTGTTTTAGTCATTATCTTGTCAGTATGACATAATCAGTGGTAGTGAGTTTTCTGCAGGTTAACATGTCTTAGTAGGTTCCTGTTATTCCCAACTGCCATTCTCTTCTGACCTCTTAGAGTCAGGCAGGCCCTCATTCATCACTGCAGATCTGATGATGGAAGGAGTATATCACCTCCACATTGCCAGATGGTAATATTTTTATAATAGCAAAAGAGCCCGCATGTTTTGACTATTTGTGCCTAGCATATTTTTTAGAGGTTTCCATGTATTATTTTTTGTAATCCCTACTACTCAGAGAGGAGGCATATTAGTTATCTAATCCCGCCTAGCAAATTACTTCACAACACAAATGTACTGCCGCCCATCTGTGAGTCAGGAATCAGGCATCGCTTAGCTAGGTACCCGGCTCAGGTTTTTTCACAGGCTGCAATTATGGTGTCAGCTGGGACTACGATCTCATTTTAAGGCTCACCTCACTTCCAAGTTTACTTACTTGGTGCTTAGCAGTCCTGAGGTCCTCCTGCCTGTTGGCTGGAGCCTCTAGTTCCTCTCCAGTTGGGCCTCTCTGTAGGGCAGCTTACAGCATGGTCTCTGTCTTCCTTCAGAGTGAGCAAGCAAGAGAAGGTGTAGCCAAGACCCACCTAAGCTTGGAACTGAGTTCTTATCACTTCTGTCACAATCAGTTGTCTAGGAACAGTCTCAAAAGCCAGTCTACACTCGGAAGAGGATTATACAAGGATGTGGATACCAGGAGTCGGCGTCAGTGAGGCAATTTGTGAGGCTGTCTGTAGTAGGAATTGTTACTTTCCCCATTTTGCAGACAAGGCAGCTGAGGCATAGGGAGGATAAATAGCTTGACTAAGATTATACAGGTGGTTGTGGAGTTGCTGGATTACAACTCAGGTAGTCTGACTGCAGCAGCTGCTCTCATCACTACCATTTGATAGTTATTTACTGCCTCAAAGGGGATGGGTTATGTAGTAAAAGGACTGACGAGGGCAGCAGTACCTTATCCTTATCCATGTCTTGGATCCTGTTTTGGAAGGCAGCTCTGCTCTTCACTATACCACCAACGCACACCCACTGCTACTATTTTGGAATGAGATTAGACAGGAAGAGCTAGCAGCTGCTTAGAGTAAGCGATATGGGTCCTTCATCTTAAAATTCAAAACCCATGCAAATAGTAACAAAAAACAGAGAGCAAGAGGATACAGTGAAATGTATAAACTTTTTTCCCCTGATACTTCCCTTGCCCTCTCCAGAGGCAGTACCTAATACCAGTTTCTTTTGTGTTCATTGTAAGCATTTTATAATCATGTGAGAAGAGCATTTTCTTAAATGCATACATGAGAGTGATAAGGCAGTCCACAGAGTGAGAGAAGATAGTTAGAATATACACGTATGGTGACGGACTCATCTATTATTTATATGAAAAAAACAACAACTATAAATCAAGATGAAAAAATCAAGATGAAAAAATGCAGACAATTCAATAGGAAAATGAGCAAAAACATTTCATAGAAGAGGAAAGCCGGGTGGCCAATAAATGTATAGAAAGGTGCTCAGCTTCATTAATCATCAGAGAAGTGCATCTTAAACAACACTAAGATAGTACGGCAACCCACCAAGAATGACTTCTTCATATATTTATCACCATAAAGAAGTTTTCAATTTTAGTATGGTTAAATTATCACCTTTTATTGTATGGTCTCCAAAACAGTTAGCGACATGTTCTAAAGAGCTCACCCCAAGCTAAGATTTATTTTTAAAATCTTTTTTAGTTTTTCCTTATGTTTGCATGATTTTTATCTTATATGTCTTTGAATCTTTAATCTGGAATTATTTGTATAAATTGTGAAATGTAAATCCAATTTTACTTTTATTCCAAGTGAATCCCCCACCCCCAATTCCTGATGCCATTTGTCGAATAATTCATTTTTCTTTTGTTTTGCTTGAATTTGTTTCTGGATTTGATTGATCTGTCCATTCATACACTGGTACTGTATTTTCTTTAGCTTTATAATGTGTTTTAATAGATAATAAGGTGGAAGGTCTGATCTCCCTTTATATTTTTTCTTGGACTTTTTTTCTTGGACTATTCGTGTAGTGCTAATGTTGGATACTGATAAATACGATAGCAAATCATGGTGAATTTAGCTAGGATTTGTTCTAATTTCAAGACTTTGTACAAGCAACTTCATTGGTTTTTCTTTAAAGAAAAGTAAAATAAAAGCTCTGGGCTATTGAATTAATTACTCATTCCTCCTGGGGAATTTTCTACCAATATAGAATATATTTTTTATCAGATATTGAAAGCAGAAAATTTCTGCTAGGAGTTATAAGACCAGGGTTTTACTCCTAGTACTGTCACTGACTGGGCACTTGAACTTAAGCAAGAGATGTAACCCTTTTTTGTGTCAGTTGCCTGTCTATAAAGTAAGGTGGCAATACCTGCACGGCAATACATGCAGTGACTCTAAGGGTCACAGGAAATGATTGTAAAGGCATTTTGTAAGGCCCCAGAAGGTCAATAGCCTGTGTCACTGATGAAATTATAGGGACTTTTATATGTGAGAATTATTAAATAGTAAAACTGAGTCTATTAACTGCCTATTTACAGTGGTTTAGAACATTGATGAAATAAGGTAATTTCTCTGTTAAGGAGATATTCCAATGTCAAAGTTTATTGTTAGAAATGTTAATAGACATGGAAATGAAACCAGAGTCATAACCATGCGTTCTAGAGGTTGGCTCCCTGTTGCTTGCCTTTCTTTGACAGAGCATGCCCCCTTCTAGACAAGAAGGGTTAAGGATTCCTGTCCCAGTGCAGCGGAGCGGCCCTCCGCACTGTCAGGGTCTGCTGCCTGACCACACCGCTGGGACCCTGCTTGTTTCCCTATCCAGGGTGGCCATGCCCTGGGGCTTGCTGACAAAATGTCTTTACCTGATGTAGCGAATGTGAAAGGCCTGAGTTTGTTAACTGTATTTCTAGAAGTTTTTTTTATAGTTGAAATGTGCTATATCTTATTTAAATGGCACCAACATGACTAGACTGTGAATTTCTTGTCCCTTATAGGTATTCGATGCTGGAGACTATTCCCTGTTGTGTTCAGGTCCCAGTGAAAATGGACAGACGTGGACCGGAGGTGACTTTGTGTCAGCAGATAAAGTCATCATTTGGACTGAAAATGGGCAAAGTTATATTTACAAACTACCTGCCAGGTATTCAATAAATAATAAGTTAGGACTTTAATCAAAAGCAAAAGATTCCAAATTTGTAGTATAACTTGAAAGTATGAAAATGTATGTAGTGTAAATATTTAATTTATGTAAAAAAAAACTCTCAGAACTTCTTGTTAGATATGTAATCTAGTTTAACTTCTAAGTAGAAAAATTAGATGGATTTTTATTTGAAATAGGATATTTTAATGGCATTCATTATTTAATTTAATGCTAAATTAAATTAACTATAAATAAAAAATCCATTTTTTGTTCGTGTCAAAAAACCTCACATGGCATGACAAAATATTTAATGTCAGTATTTTAATTGAATGTGTTTTTCTTATTTTCAGTTGCCTTCCAGCTAGCGATTCATTCCGCAGTGATGTGGGGAAAGCTGTTGAGAATTTAATTCCTCCTGTACAGCATAGCCTCTTGGATCGAACAGATAAAGAGGTAGAATTTTTCGGGTATCATTTATAATTGAAAGTTACACTGAAAAATTTTCACAACTATGTTTTTTGGTATCTTTTGGTAGCTAATCATTTGAAAAGTTCAATATAATTCAAGGCACTTCGTTAGACATGGTAAAACAGTCTGACACAGTCAGTTGTAAGCATAATTTTAAAATATGCGTATCTTAAACATATATGCCTGTAAAGTCGCATTCATCATTCTCAGACTACAAATGATCTAACGTTGATAACATAGTAGAAATGACTTTTTGATAAAGTTCATATTGATAGTGTAAACTTTTTTTACACGATCATGCTATTATAAACAGTGACAGATGTAATGCCCTTTTATAAGGACAAAGCTAATCATGTAATAATGCTCACTAATAATAGTTCAATACTTGAACGAGGCGTTGCAGTAGCTCCCAAAAATCGTGTAGTGATTTAAATTATTAGACTTCAGAAATGAAGAATAAAAGAAATTTTTCTGTATAAGTTCAAAGTTTATTATGATTTCTTAAAACCTGGTTAGTATCAATTTAAAGTTGAAATGTAACAGCACTGAGTACTGGATTGTCAACTCTGTATTCTTTGAGCAGTAAGAAAGAAGCTTTGGTTTTGGAATAAAGTTTCCTTTACTTGTGCTCTGGGTTTCCACAGCTTTAACATTCTGAACATTTTGCTCCATCTTTATGTGGAGGGATGGTGAGGGGAGGGGAACTGTTTTTCACCATGAATGTTTTGCATATACAGATTTATACACGTATGTACAATGAAGATCCTCTATAACCTGTCTTTTATTCTCCTAACTTAAACTCCTACTTTACCACTCTCCAACCAGTAAAACTAAGGGATACTGACTTTATAAAAAATATACCCAAAACAAATCAAATACATATCACTGTTTCTTTAAATATCACCTCCCCTATACATTTTAAATTAAAATAAATTATTATGTGGTGTGAGATACTCATATGTTAAAATACAAACTATTGGTTATTCCAGCTGCTGTAGCAACTTCTTGTCCAGCATGTTGTTTATCTATTAGAACTTTTAGACATTTTCAGTAAAATAATTGATTATATTTAATATACAGTTCTCATAGGCCAATGCTTTTTAAGAAAACAGCTAATACCAAACTTAGTAATTAGATTGGTTGATAACTATAATTGTCAAACTGAAGTCAATTTATTACTGTTTTTCAGGATAAGATTTTATGTTTTAATAATCAAGTATCTTTGAAAAAATATTCTAAAATTTAATTTTAGGATGCCACTGCTGTTTAAAATTTTCAAGTACGTGATCTCACTGAAGGCACAAAGTCTTAAGTAGAAAAATAATTTGTTTTAAAAATAAAAATATATAGAAGACCCTAATGAATGGTTTTTGCTCCTAGTAGTTTATAGCTCACAGATCAGGCTAGGTCAAATTGACTATGTAAATGTGACTAAGCAAAATGTTATATTATTACTCATTTAAAAAAAAATTTTTTTTTTTAAAGATGAAAGTCCTCCAGTTGCACGAGCTTGGTAGTTTAATTTTGCTGCTGTTCCTAGTGACCAGTCAGGAGCGGGCAAAAGTCTAGAATTAGCCATTTTTCCCTTTTTGACCTTTTAAGTGGAGATCTTTCTTTTTTGTAGAGAGTGATATATCTTTGTATTAATTATGTAATAACAGTAAATTAAATTCATTATTGTAAGTAATCAGTTTTTATAAAACAGCAAAAAATATACTAATTCTGTAAAAAGAGTATAAATATAATTTTCATTTCTTTGAATGCTTGTGATATAATGGATTTGAATATTACTTGACATGTACATTAACACTACAGAATTATATTAAAATATTGCTGAATACTCATGCTATCAACTCTTTTTTTTTTTTTACTCTAGTATTGAAGCAAAGTATTTAACATCCTTATTTGTAAAAATGTTAATGGGTGAACTATTTTGATTAAAAAGATAGCTAAAGATATTTGAACAATTTTTTTTTCAGTTGTTAATTTGCCCTCCTGTTACTCGGTTCTTCTATGGATGCAGAGAATACTTCCATAAACTATTAATTCAGGGAGATTCTTCTGGAAGATTGAATATTTGGAACATTTCAGACACACCCGATAAACAGGAAGGTAAAGAAGGTAATAATACTCAACTTTTTCTGTCTGACTTATTTGGACAGAAAAAGTTAAGAACAATAGGATTTTACTCATATGTGGGATATAAAACTGAAAGCAACAAATGAACAAGACAAACAAACAAGCAAACAAAAACATATAGACACAGACAACAGTTTAAATGGTTACCAGAGAGAAAGAGGGAAGGGGGAAGTAGATAAGGGTGAAGGGGATCAAATATATGGTGACAGGAGATTTGACTTTGGGTGGGGAACACACAGAGCAATGTACAGATGATGTATTCATCGTACACTTAAAACCTGTATTATTTTATTAACCAATGTCGCCCCAATAAATTTAATAAAAAAGGGGGTAATAGTAAATCATGTGCAACCATTTCTTAATTCTTTTAATTTAACAACCTAAATACTAACCACTGAATAACAAATTCAAAATGTGCATATGTCATTTTCTTCTTCTAATTATGGTTGGTAATAGTTATTATTCTTTGGTATATTACTGAATCAACCATAAACATGCTTATTTTAATATTTTTAATTTTTTAATGTGCACAAATATTTTTCTTTTGTACAAAATAAAACCTCCACAGGGTTGGAAATGACAACTTCTGTTAGTTTGCAAGAGGCATTTGATAAGCTGAATCCTTGTCCCGCTGGAATTATCGATCAGCTGAGTGTGATCCCCAGTAGTAATGAACCTCTTAAAGTAACTGCGAGTGTGTACATACCAGCACATGGACGACTTGTCTGTGGCCGTGAGGACGGTAGCATCATCATTGTGCCTGCCACGCAGACAGCCATAGTTCAGCTGCTTCAGGGGGAACACATGCTCCGAAGAGGTATACTGAAGACCTACCAGTTTCTAAAGTGTTTTGAGAACTCTGTAACCTTGATACTGACAATGTTGGCACTCTCTTTTTTTAACAAACGCAGTGAATCAGTATAGTTGTTAGCATGCTATGTAGCTGGTAGAATTTAGTGTGCAGATAATAAAACAGTGCCTATTCTGAGAATAAATGCCATTAATGACTGTGAATAGAGAAGTATCCGATTTTATCTCTTTGATATGTTAAAAGTTCCATTTATTATTATCATCTCTATTGGCTTACTAAATAATCAACATATTGTCAATAATACTGATAATCTTTTAAAAGTGTTGTTCAGTGGAAATAGATATACGTAACAACATGTAATTTCTAATAGCCACATTAAAAAAGTAAAAATGAAGCAGGTAAAATTAATTTTAACATTATATCTTATTTAATCCAATATAGCAAAACTGTTTTTATCCCACTGAAACATTTAGCATTATTATTTTTTGTACTAAGTCTTTGAAATCTCATGTGTATCTGACATTTACAGTACATATGCATCTGGACTAACCACATTTCAAATGCTCAGTGGTCTCACGTGGCTGGTAGCTACTGTATTGGACAGAGCAGCTCTAGAATGTAAAGTTAGAAGCCTTTTCTAAGATAAAATTTGTAGCAATTTTGACGATTCATGTTTACTTTTATTTGTTGAAACTTTGTAAGACTTTAATTTTCCCATTTTTAAATCCAAAACCTCATTCACAGGTTGGCCACCTCACAGAACACTTCGTGGTCATCGGAACAAAGTCACATGTTTGCTATATCCTCATCAGGTCTCAGCTCGTTATGATCAAAGATATCTGATATCTGGAGGTGTGGATTTTTCGGTCATAATTTGGGACATATTTTCTGGAGAAATGAAACATATCTTCTGTGTACATGGTGGCGAGATCACTCAACTTCTAGTTCCACCTGAAAACTGTAGTGTAAGTTGATGAAAAAAGATTATTTCGCTGTTGTAGAGCTTAGTTATGTTGCTGTCGGGCTTAATATAAGTGGAGTCTAGAGTAACTTAAAGAGAAGGTGACAAACGAATTAACAAAATTTTTTTAATTTTAAAACTAATGGTAACATAAAATGTAGGCAAAGTTATGATTATTTAGTACTGGGCACATAGAAATAATACATGCACACAGTGTTTTTTCTTGTTATTAGTCCCTAAATAGCATGGCTTGTCCTTGAAATATAGTGGCAGTTTAGAATCTGTTTATTGAATGAAGTTTCAATTTTCTGTTGTAAAATAATTTAAATATCCCATAGACATTCTATAGTCTCATTATGTTCAGGTCCATCTAAGCAAAATGAGAGGGAATGTATACTTAGGTAGAGGCAAAATACTTATCAGTACTCATAAATATAATTTGTTTAAATGGTTATTGGGACAAGGGAAAGGATAAGTCACTGATAATGATTTTGGAAAATTTTGTACATACTTTTGTGAAAGTAGATTGCTTTCTTAGTGCTGTGTGTGTCAGTTAGTTTATGATGTCAGATAAAAAGCCCAGTAATTTCAGAAATATGAGATTTTAGGAGGGCCTGGACTGGTAAGTAACAGACCCAAAATTTCTTCTAGTGTTTATTGATTATGAACTTCTTCACATGATTAGCCACCTTTGTGTGTCACATATGTATGCACACACACACATACACAGACACACTATCTTCTTGCATACCTATTTCATGCTTATAATCCATTCAGTTATGATCTTTCTGAAATGAAAAAATTTGTATGGGATGCAGTATTCACAAGGTGTCTTATTCCAAAACCCAAGAAATTTTCCTTGGCCTTCCTGCTTACTTAATCTTCCTGATAATGTCTTTTATCTGCCATGTTCTGCCAGTGCTAGATTTTGTTTGATTTGATATCGGTGGCTTCGTAAGAAGTCTTAGTACCAATGTCTCTCTTTTTTTCTGCCAGATTTGAAAATTCAGGTTTTTAATCATTCTCAGCCTTCCTTTTTATTCTTGTTCTTTCCATTCCTTCCAATTTGGTCATTAGTTTATCTTTGCCACTGAAAAATTGCTGTGTATTTATTTGAATAACAAATTTTTTGTCAGACTTTAGTGAAATAGATAATATCTTTCACTATAAGTTATAGAA